AGAACCTTGATTCTGTAATAAGAATATAAAGCAACTTTTTGCCTTCTTGTTTTTACTTAAATAATATGTGCAAAATATTTGGAACCCACAGGGTCAATGCAGAAGCATTTTCAAGTACTTAATGTTTCTCTTATTTTTACCTATTTGTCCATCACTTCTTCCCTAAGAAATCATCTATTAATTGTTCATATTTAAGGACGTATAGTTGATGTACAGTTTCCTTAACATATGTTAACTGTACAAATTACAGGTATTAACTTCACCATCACCCTGTCTGCGATATTGAGGAAATTGGTTTCCCTCAATGTTTCCACTTGTCCTCCTAATATTCCTCCTGTTTTCCTCTTCCCCCTCCCTCCATTTACCCAGGCACCTGCTAATATAGCTCGTGGTGCTTCACTTTGCACTCCCTAGAATGTATAATAGTGGAATCAGGTAGCAGTTTCCTTTTTGCTTATTTTACTCAGAGCACATACTGTGAATGCAGCCACGCTGCAGTGTGCATGAGACAGTCATTGTTGCTAATGATGGAGTGTTCTAATGGATCATTTACAAAAAAATACTTATTTATTAAGCTACTGATTGATGTTGGCTTTGTGTCCAATTCTATACCATTAAGGATAAAGCTTCTCTTCATCTGGGAGTAGGAGGCAGCTGAGAAAACAGCTCTTCTTCTTTTTACATGAACAACAATAGCAACGTCATCATTCACATCAGCACACCTGCATGAGTTGTAGATCAGCACATTTTATTTAATATTTCAGACAATGGAAATTACATGACAGCCAGCAAATCTGAAATCTGCAGAGAGACCAGTACTTGCAGGGAGAAACAGGACCAGAGCATTAGCTCATTAGGCACGGTCCACCAGACGGCATGTGGGTTGGGACAAGACTATACCAGACATGGGCACTGGAAGCTGGAAGCCGGATTTGGTAAAGAGTATATAGTTTAAATTTTCCAGTGGTCACATTGTTGGTAATTCCTATTTCAATTTTCCCTGAAGTTTCCTTTTCCAGAATTGGGGAGACATCCTGAAGTTCTATCTCAGGTGGTTCTATCTCAGAGAGACGGAGAACATGTTTCTGAAATGCATTCAGACCGACCGCCCCTGTCTCCTACAGATCTACAGAATTACTCTTCAGGGGACAAGAGGCAGAAAGCAGTGTCCTCGCCCACTGGGGAACCTCGCAGGAAATGGGAGTGGAAGAGATGTCACTGCCGATGTTATGCTCAGAAACACGACTCCCCCCCATCACGGGAACAAAGGCTTGATCTTCAGGGACAGGCAGCAAATCTGGGAGCTGGAGAGGCTGATGGAGAACTGCGCGAGCTGTGGGAGACAAGAACCGGGAAAAGAAAGACACTGAGGAGGGTACGAGGGCAGCGTCACCTCTTGCGGAGGACGGGACAGCACGCAAGGGCACAGTGCAGACCAAGGGGCATGATGCCTGCCTGGAACCCGGCTCAGGGAGGAAGTCAGAGAAGGCGCCTCAGGTCAACCTCTTCCACCACATCAACCACTGCCAGTAAACGCAAAATCGAGACTAACCTGGGCAAGCTGAAACAGATTGTGTCTAGAATATGGGGTGTAAACAGAAAGCCAGGCAGGAAACACACACTGTGCATCAGTGGAGCTGTCTGAACACTTCTGTGCTCGTAGCAGAGAAAACCTTCAACACTTGGAGCCACTTCAACAATGAATTCCACATGCAAGTCTGACTAGACTCACACAGACTTCCTCAGCACTGGCCTGGACAGCATCACATGTGCACATTTACAGGGAGGAAAATACATAAAATGAAATGATAAGTCAAGGGTAACCATCAAAGCAAGTATGTTTGGATAACATGAAACATTATAGGGTGTCCCAAATAGAAAACCAAAGTCGTAATGGAGAAATTATGAGAATGAGGTTCATAAATGACAGATATTAGAACTGTCTTAATTAGGAAATGCAAACGGGCTGTTTATGATTAATGTGTTAAAATATTAAAAGGAACAGAATTATACTAGAAAACAAGGTAATTAACTTAGGTAGAAAAATAAGGATTTTCAGGAAGAGCGAAGTGGAAATGCGTACAGTATTGAAGAAGAACTCAGTACAAACAGGACTTGCACAAACAAATGAGCTAGTTGTCTCGTCTTTCAAAAGAAATCATGGAGTTGAAAATAGGTGCAAGGAACTACATAAGCAAAATGCAGAGGAAAGGAATCATGAAGACAAAAGAACATCAGCATCAAATAGTGTCATGTAAATGTGATTGGAATCCCAAAGGTAGAAATAAATGAGCAGATATGTTCACAAATGTTCTAAACATAACAACAGATGTAAAATCACAGATCCAGGAATGTAAGAGCAATTTCAAGCAGGAGAAACCAAACACACACACAAACGTACACCCTACTACTGATACACACTTGTGCATATGCGAGAACTAACGCTTACGTCCACTCACAGGACACTCATTTCCTCTGTGTTATTATTTTCAATTAACTGAATTAAATTCAGTTCTATTTATAGCATGAGATATTCATTGCAATCTTGTTCTTCTATGTGCATGTCCATCGATTGGAACCCCAATAAACGACTATATTTAAACACACCTTTTTGCTAAAAACTGAATGGAAATTCGATCCGTGGCAAAGATGGGATTGGAAAGTACCATGGAATTGAGTTGTAAGCTCCGTGTTTGTTTATTTCCCATGACAATATCAACCTTTCTAAACACCAGGGCTTACCCATAGATCTCATAGCCTGGGCTGCAGGAGACTCTGAGGCTGGGCACTTGGTCCAACCCCTCACCCCGGCAGGAGCCCTGCACCTGGCTGACAGGATACACCCAAGTCTATCCGCAGGGCACAGGTGCATAGAGATGAGCTCCTGGTGACCAGCCCACAGCGTGCACCCCCAGGGAGAGCAGACGGGGCTCACTCTGCCACAGCTGGAGAAGCAGGTGGACGGGGCGGGCGTTACTCCTCCACTCCTGAGACGAGAGCCAGAGGTGGGTGCTGCCACCCAGCCCAGGGTGTAGTGGGGAGCATGGTCAGCTGCAGGAACACGTCTGGCTTCAGTGAGAATGAGGAGAAGGAGCTGATTCACCAGGCGTGCGGGAGACACAAAGGGACCTGGTGCCCGTTGTGTGGGTGTCCAGGGAGACCAGGAGCTTTGGCAGAACAGTGAGGAGGAGGAACCGTATGAGGGTGGACGACCAGGAGCCAGGCGGAGGGGAGGACACACCGAGATGACGGCTCTTCCCCACACAATGCAGGGAAATGGCAGGGGCCAAACAAACCCCCGGCACATACAGAGTCATCTCTGCAGAGAAGAGTTTGCTCCTGAATGACCAACACAGCGTAGGAAACACAACACCCTCCGTGACGCTAGAGTGTAGTGTGCATGTTTCCTTACTGCAAAGATATTACTGAAAATTTATCCACAGCAGATAACTGAAAAAAAATAAGAGTTAAGTCTGTATTAAAATGAGGTCAGAAGTCATCCAATTGTAGATGAAGGAAATCAGGGCACTGCAGGAATAATCCACCACGAGTCCTGAAGAAGACCAAGAACAGGCAGAGACCGAAAACAGCAAGGTCTCAAGGAAATCTCAGCTTCCCTCCGCACCTGCTCAGGTGCTGGGGATGAGCCCGCCTGGTGGTCCTGAGCTGGGGACGAACCCCCGATGGGCCCTGAGCACCCCCTGGAGGCCCCGTGTGCCCTGGTAGGTCGGTGTCTGGGCTCACCCGATGTCCCCTCTCTGTGTCTGGCACAGACACACATGGCCGTGTCCTCAGTGCCCAGGGAGCTCAGCTGCAGGGAGAGCTGGTTCCTGGACGTGCTTCTGGAGTCAAAGACGGCTCTTTAGGGATGGGCTGTGGCACAAGTTCCATCAACTCGGAGGTGCCTCATCCATGCAGCCCTTCCCCACGGGCTGGGGACCCGGTCCCACAGCAGCCACTGGTGTTGGTGGAGAATCCACACCCAGGACAGGTGAGGGAGAGGGTCTGTGCAGCTGCCCAGACCTGCCCCACTCCTGCCGCTGCCTGGGACAGGACACCTGGGGACAAAGAGCACTCGGCTCGGCCATCATGTGCTGTCACAGCCGTCCCCCAGACCCGTGAGTGACAGCTGAGACACCGTCGCACGTTCCCCTAGACCACAGCTAGATATATTTGTTCCCCAATAATATTGTGAAATAAAAAAAGATATGTAAAAATTTAAATAAAATATAAGTAAAATTACACAAATTACAAAATTGTAATCTGGGCTTCAGTACTAAGAATATGCAGTATTGTGAACGGGTGAATTTCTGCAGTGAGTAAGATACTTACAGCCTTCGTTGAAGAGGACCAAAACCAGGCTACACACTTTTATATTTTATCATATATTATTTTAGTATATTTTGGATTTCTAATTGGATCAATCACAGAGTGCTCTCTGTTCTATTGCACAGTGTAACTGTAGCTAATAATAATGTATTGGATATTTGAAAATACCTGAAAAATAGGATTTTATATATTCTCACTACAAAGAAATAACAAAGATTTGAGGTGATGGCCATGCTAATTATACTGATTTGATCATTCCACAATGTACACACGTACTCACATTGTGTTGTATCCCTTCAATAGATATAATTCTTATTTGTCAATCAAAAATAAATAAAATTTTACCCAAATGCCAAACCATATGTGAGTGGATTAATAAAATGTGGTATATGTATACCATGGAGTTCTACTCAGCCACAAAAAACAATGGTGATCTAGCACCCCT